ACTGAGTATGATTTCGCAACTTTTTTTTATTTCCTTCCGTTTCTTCATCATTATGTAAATAACCGTCGTCATGAAATCAGTGTATTTTATCCCAGTCGAAAAGGAGTGCAGCAAATATAAGGGCAAAACTATTGAAAAAAAAACATTCATTTCATTGGCCCACATTAGCTGATTACCTTCTATTTTACATTAGGAAATTGGCGAATGGATGAGATAAGTTCGCTATTCGATCAAACGCTTTCAACAGAGATCCTGGATCTGTCGAATGATACACAAAAGAACACATTTTTGTATAGTAAACTTCTCTTTCATGTTGTACTTCATTTGCCTCACGATAATGCATCCAAACAGCAACTGTTCTCCAATGTTAAAAAATCAACTGCTCAGCGTAACGACTATTCCAAATCTCTCTCTAAAAACTTTGAAGATAAATATAAGGCCGAGGAAGTAGTTTGGTGGTACACAGAACCGTCGTTCTTATACTGGCAATTGAATAAAGCATTACGTGAACAAGAAATCGATAACCTTTATGAAATGCGTCATTATATTGTTGATCTTCAACACCAAATAGAAAAACTACATCTAAACTTCGAAGCAACAGTACTTTATCGTGGCGTCACAATCCAAGATTTCCAGTTGCAAAAACTGGAGCAAAGCATTGGTACACTCATCCATTTTTCTGAATTTCTTTCCACAAGTCTTAAGAAAGAGGTCGCAATGGGTTTTATGAAACCTGAAGTTGGCAATAGTGCTAGAAAGATCGATAATACTATGAAAGCTGTGTTATTTCACATTGATGTTAGTTCGCGAGACGATAGTTTCGCACTAGAAGAGAATTTTGTTGGTTGCATCGCGAGCCTTAGTCAAAAACCCACAGAATATGAAGTTTTATTCTCGCCTAACTCAGTTTTTCGACTGGAACGTATTCAAGAGGATGAAGACAAGGTACACAATATTTATCTGAAATTAACCAATGAAAGAGATGCAAACTTAAAGAAACTTTATCAATACTATAAACAAGAAATCGGTGCTAACGCAAACGATCCTACGAACTTAGTTATCTTGGCGAAATTGATTAGACGAATGGGCAAGTTTCAAATTGCAATTCACTACTATCAAAAGGCCCTAGAAGATGAAACTTGGAATCAAGTTGAACAGTATAAAACTACTGTTTTTACAGATTTAAGCCTAATCTATCGGCAGACTAAAGAGTATGACAAAGCTCTGGAAGTCCTCGATAAAGCTACCGAAAGTGTAAAACAAGGACAACACGAACGGTTTGCTCGCCCTTATCGAATGATAGCTTGTAATAGAGCAATGGTGCTCAAGTATAAAAAGGACTTTACGGGTGCACTGCAATATTATTTAGAACTGGTAGCAATGGAACGAGAGGCGACAGATGTTAACGACCAAGAACGGGCAACAACGCTCAACAATTTGGGTTCCATATACTATGATACGGGTTATTATGATGAAGCAATTGCTGTTTTTCAGGAAACTTTGTCAAAGCAAAATAATCAGTTACCAGAAAATCACCCAGAGATTGGAAGAACGTATAGTAACATGTCTGCCTGCTGGCTAAGAAAAGGTAATCACCAAAATGCAGAGGAATACGCAAATAAAGCTAATATGATAAATTCACACTCAATGATGGATGATCATCAATCAGTTGCTTGTACAAAAGGAAACCTTGCAATGGCTCAAAAAGAATTAGGACTTGGCGTGGAAGCCTACGGCAATTTGGAGGAAGCTGAAGAAATTTTACAAAAACAGTATCCCCCTCATGATTCGTACCTACAAACTCTAAAAGCAGTAAAGGATTCTATTCAGTTCTAAGCTTTATTCAAGTATTCTGTGGATGATACAATTTATAACGAACTTCAAATGCAAGATTTTGTGTAAAACATATCACGAAAAGCTTTGAAAGAAGTAACCCAGATCAAATAACATGAAATATATGCAAGTTTAAAAAAGTACATACAGTCATCATTCATTTTGTTTATATTCCTCATCCTCATATAAAAGAGTGGAAAATATTCCACAATAGCTCCCAGCACAGACAATGCTGATCATACAAGAAAATCAGTTACATCGCTTCCTGATACCTCTGCAAGTTCACGCTTTAATCTACCCTGTCGTTTTATACAGAGACTATCTACAGTTCTGAAATTCATATAACCGATTAAGGTTCTGAGCCACAAAGGGTGTGGGTGTGGGTGTGTGGGGTAGGCCTAGGACAGTTCCAGATCAGTTCCTATCTTGGAACTGCCGCCCCCAAAATCGGAACTGAACTGTATTATCTTTTTAGTTTTTGTTCATTTCTTACGTTTTTGATACACTGACGTTTTGCATTCCCTTACCCAGGACTAGGATTGTAACGAGAGCGAGATCTCGGTCTCGGTCAGTATCGGTCTCGATTGTAATTATCTCTATTTCTCAGTTAATGATAGAGAAACTTGGCTTCTACTTTATTCTTGACATCTGCAAGTCAATGCTGATCTCAGAGAGCTTTCATTAGTTTCACTTTCATACATAATGAGTGATCAGGATTATCTCTGATAATTTCGACACGCTCATCTAGGAAATCTTATGTACTAAAGGGTTCTCTCAAATATAGACTATTCAATCTTTTCATCTCTAAGGGGAATCACTACAAAGTTTAAAAATTGTAAATTCGATCAGAAGGAGAAGTGTTTCATTTCATTATTTGTTGTCTAAACTTTAAAAAGTCTCGTGGAAACCAATAGTCAATTTCATTCTGAAAAATCAACTTAATTATTAATGTTGATGATGCATAGGCATACTGACTTTTTTCACATATGCGACTAACAATTGAAAATCATTGAACGATGAAATTTTTTCTTTTACTATAATTAAGTTCTAAATCTAAGTGATAATAATGCATGGTTATTTGAGTATGAATAATAATTTTTTATATGAAATTTATAAAGCAGAGACCAAACTAGTATTACATCATGATCAAGATTGTAATTGGAGAATTCGATCGCATAAGAACGTCATTACGAATTTCTGATAGTAGTGCAATAAATTACCTTTTTAGAAGATGATCATCATAAAAAAGCTGGTTTTCCATTAATGAAACATGCACACAATGCACATTCTGCTAGATATCTTAGGTTTTCAATGAAAGATCAGTATCATGCTTCTCTTAAGAATCAGCTTCTAAGACAAAAGCTACAGCTAACTCAGACTGAAGCCGAGACACCGAGAGTCTCGGCCGAGATTACCGAGACCGAGAATGTCGCCCGAGACGCTCGGGCCGAGAGTCTCGTCTAAGTCTCGGTCTCGTTACACCCCTATTTGTGATATCATGCACTAATTTTAACAGTAGATATGAAAATTGGAGCTTTATGGAGTGTTTGTAAGTTTTTTTTTGTATAAGAGTTAGGATTTTATCTTTGAATTTTTCAATCAATTCGAGTTTAATTTTATCGAGGATTCACAGTTTGAAGATGAATAGGTCATCGAACGTCCATTTTATAGTGATAATTATATTGATCCACAATTTTTTAATCCATCAAAATTTTCACCGGATGACCAATATCTGATCAATTCAGTTCTCCCAAGAAACATAATCAATTGGTTGCAAGCGAAGAATCCAAAGAAGAATTGAAGGCAAATTACATGTAGCCAGAAGTGAGTCATGCTTTTCCCCCTCCAATTCATCGTTATGCATACCTTTATGTTTGATGACGATGAACAGTAGATGCGACAGCATGGCTCACCGTTGCTTTTATTTTCAAAAAACATTTTGTAATACAAAAAAGCACGAATCTTTGGTTTTTATCGACAATCTTGGTGAGACACAGCGATCAACGATGAAAAAAAATTAATTCAAAACAGATTAACCTATCTCTTAACGAAAAGACAAATCAATCTGTTAGTCTCAACTCTTACTTTTCAGTAATCGATCAAAGTCGAAAAATGATATAATATAATATTAAATATTTAAAGTGCTTGAATTAAATAAAATGCAGAGTTTAATTTCGCCGACGCGTTTCGTATCTTTTAAAAGATAGTACTCTTCGGGGCTTGAGATTTATAGATCTAGAATAGAAAAGGCAGAAAATGATTAAAGTTATATATTAAAATAGAAGGTTAACATGCATAGAAAAGTATAATGATTGAAATGGTTTATTCATTTAAGATGCAATAAAAAAAAGAAGAAAGAAAACTTATTGTTTGTAAAAGTTTATGGTAACTGCGATATTGTTTCATATTGTCTATAAAAAAATAGAAAAATTTATTTATAAAAAGAACTATTTCATAGAGATTATAATTTACTTGATTGTTCGCATGATGTAGATTTATATAATCTAATGTTTGTTTTCGAGTCCATTTCTCTTCAATAACTTTTGAAATTTTTGTAATAGCCAAACATTCATAAATATTATTGTTTGTTTTATAAAGATTTTCATCGAATGTATATGCTATTGCTTTCCATAATGACCAAGTATCTGTTGAAGATTTGTAAGGCCGATGAGAACATGAACATAATGGACCATCGATATCAATGAAGTCAATGATTTGACCACAATTTGTACTATGACTAAACGTTGCATTATACCATAATTTGAAATCTTGTCGTATATCAATTAGACGAACTGTTTGTAGTTTGTCGTAGATGAAGAAACCATAATCTTTATAATGGAATAAATTTTTATTGATATCACCCCATGTCTGAATAGTATTCGATGCATCGATGATCACTGAAAGTAATTGTTTTATTCGATCGTATACAGGAGTTGAGTTCTTAAATATTTCAATTCGTGTGATTATTGATTGAAACTTTTGTATTAATTCTATTTCAATAAATAGTTCTTTTGATAATATATCACCATGAAAGACAATTGTGAACTTCTTCGTTCGTTTAGCTTGAATAATCAAATCTTCGGCTATAATAGGAGATGTTATCTCATCAATGTAAACATATTTATAAGGTGTTAATGGTATAAAATTCGATAAACCTTTCACTTCTTTTGATTTTCTAGATTCAATATCTCTTGAATACATATTCAATAATTCTTCTTTTGAAGATTGAAAGATAATTTTAATATCTCTCAATTGATAATGATTGATGTAACTAGATATTAAGATACCAATTAACATTGATACAAGTGAACCAAAAATCATATTTATCCAGTGTGTACGTGTGGATTCACTTTTTAAAGAAGTTGTAAGTTCATCGTTACTGCAAGTAGAATGAATAATTAACAATAAATGTAAAATGGATAGTAGATATGAATAGAAGGATTGATTGATCATTTTTGTTTTAAATCTAAAAGAAAAAACTTATAATTAATACAATTTTGAATCAGAAGACTTGAGAATTAAAAGCAGAATAACTATGCATTATATACGATGAAGAGAGTGAGAGAGAGATAAGCATAATAATTGTTAAAGTAGAACGTGTTGGAACGTTGTGATCATATCAGATAATGAAATATGCTCGTAAGACGTGCTCATATGAATTTGGTTCATTTGAAGTAAGAGTAAATTAAATATCTAAAACAAATTAAAGGGAATTTTTGAAAAGTTGCATACATACTTCTACAAATAGAATAAAAACTTTCTATTCATATATATATATATATATATATATATATTAATTATGAAGAAATCAAACTACAATAATAGAAGCACTAAGATAAGATAAAGTACATTGTTTTAGAATAAATTGATAGTAATTGCTGGATAGACTTTTCTCATTTGATCAATATGTTATTGAACGAGCCAAAAGAATATTCGATGAATAAAAATGTTTAGAATTGAGTTGAATTTTTAATCCATACTGTTTAAAGATAAGATCTTCATTGAGTATTGCTAACCAAAGTCGTTGAAATTTTTGATTAAATTCACATCTCGAACCCCAATCAAATAGATAATGTAATTGAATCAACTTCTCAGCCAAAACGGCTAACGGTCAACCAACATGATTGAAGTAGAAGTTGTTTTGTTTTCAAAACAAACTATACTATCTTGTAAAACACACTTTTCTGCATAAGAAACGCTATTTTGATTGGT